GATGATGTGCGTAGGCGAGTACTAGGTGGTGATAATCATGCTAGCTCCCTAGAACAACAGATAGCACTGAATAAGTTGCGTTGGCTCGGGCACGTGCCACATATGCCTGGTCATCGCTTACCTAGGAGGGCCTTGTTCAGTCTACCAGGTGTAGGATGGCGCAAAGCTCGAGGTGGACAGAAGTTGACTTGGCAACGGGAAATGAAGTCACTGACGTGCAAACTGGGTGCCATGGGTCCTTCTCGCCTTCCGGGCTGGAGTCCACGTGACTCACCTTGTGCTTGGCTCGAGACTTTACAGGACATGGCTCGCAGTAGACACCAGTGGCGCGTCTGCTGCCGTCTCTAAATCGGATTGTCTGTTTAAAGTGTGTTTGGTGCTGAGTTATCTGCGGGGTAATAGCTGATTATGACGCGTGGCAGTGAAAGCCGCAAGGAAGCTGTCTCGCCGATGCCGCCTTATCTTTGCACGATAGCCAGCTGTTTGTGACGGTATGTTGTTAACACAAGGTGTAGGCGCCTTGACCTTGAATGTTTGCTTAGGGCATTAAGGTTTTCAGGTAAGTCCCCCTTCTCTCCCTCTTATTCTTTATTTCATAGGTCCTCATGGTTGTATGGCAGCGAAGCATCAGTTCAAATGGCTGATGTACTGCTGTTGATGATGATGATGTTCTCTTGACAATGATAGTTATATCGGAAGCTGTGTCAAATTGCAACTTAGGAGGAATCCTGTTGCTAAGTACGGTAATGAAACGTCCGCGGGATTTGGGCTTACTCTGGAAGGCAATCACTACCGACAGGGAGCCTGCGACGGTATTTTTAACACTTTTAGCTGAATTTTTTTTACCTTACCCAGCCGAGGTTGCTTGCGAAATCTTTCCTTGTGGCCCCATTTGTGTCACTTCTGGAAGAGTTGCTTCTTGAATGCGCAGAATCTGGCAAATGCCACTCATCGCATGACCAACAGGCAGTAAGAAACCTGCTCTGTGACTTATGGGCGACATTGTTGGGCCTGTTTCGCTTGGAATTCGTCTCACCATGCACATTTCGTGGCTGTGCGAATGCATCTTTCTGAGCCTTAGAGTGTCCTGTTTCGGAGTCAGCATTCGCTCGGCCCTCGGGGCTTTCAGCGTTGCGCCTGCCTCTTGATCTAGTTTTGAAGGTATTATTGGGTTATATGGCACCGAAACACTTGAAGGAATCGATAGAGAGCATAACTTGAAGCGTTCACACTCCCAGCTGACTGTTTGTCAGCGTCCCATAATCATCGGTGTCTCGCTTGACAATTTTTAGCTGCTGATAGTGAATGTGGAAAAAGGATGACGACTCATTGAAAAATTCGTTTAGTTGTGACACCGCTTCGTCAAAATTGATATCCTGTCTTTGTTTTGACAATATATGATCAACGAACCTTGAATGTTCACTTGTGCCAAGTTTGCGGAGCAGCATTCGCACTTTGCAGGAGTCATCTTGACGGCTGAAATCCTTCCCAGCGCCTGAACCACGTATCGAAAATGCTTTTGGAATCAGCGTCATAATCGAACCCAGTAATGGGATAAGAGAGGATCCGCAGAACTTATCTGCATGTCCCGCGAAGCTCTTTCTGAAGACTACGGACCGAACCGCTACTTTATTTATGCCTTCATTTGTGCTTGCTGCTACAGTAGCAGCATTTAGGATTGTTCTGTAGAGAAGTTCATTGCACTACCACTTTTCCCGTCGCCATTTCTAAGATCTACTTCTTGGTATACACTTCCGGTTGAACAGAACTTGTTCTCTGCCAGCTCCGTATCTTAGCCGAAATCAGCAGTTAACTCTAAGGTACAAAAACGTGTTGTGGAAGCCGCTACCGAAACAGTAACAAGTAGTGTCGAATCAACGGACATTTTTAAGCCAACATATGTTCAATAATTCCTCTTCAGGCTTGTACAATTATATGTGGAAAAAAACAAAATGTTTGACACAACGTAAAGGTTGGTAAGACAAATTCAGTTCACAGTCACTGATCAAGCACAATCACTATCCGTTAGGTCACAAATGCGGCGTACACTCCATTTCGTGAGCCGGATGTCGCAGTTCGGGTGGGCCAAGGCAGTTTTAACGTCTGAACGAACCGTTTCTGAACGCACAACTCCGGCCCATACACTGGAATCATGATGGCGTCGGCACCGCATTTGTGAACTAACGGCTATTGATTGTGTTTGGTCAGTGACTGAACTGAATTTGTCTTACCAACCTTTACGTTGTGTCAAACATTTTGTTTATTTCCACATATAATTGTACAAGCCTGAAGAGAAATTATTGAAAACATGTTCGCTTTTACTTATACAATGGGATTTTTTACTACTGTGAAACATCGCTTAGACCGCCCTGTTTTGAAATCGTTCAACAAGTACGTGAGCTCCCAGACCAGGATAGCGAAAGCGGATATATATCATAGTTTCATAGAAAATTTGTAGGCTAACTAAGAAAGCTTAACGTACCAGAACAGCTAGATCAACTGTCCTGATTGGTTGAACAGCTCCGATAACCAACGGGAAGCTAGGTCTTCATGTCTTGTGTACGCGAACGTTCTTGATGCCGAGGTTCCTGAAACGACTTTCTGTTTCATTTGTACCCGATTGGCTCAACCCTTTTTCCCATCGAAATAATCAGTTTTCCTGGAAGATTTTACTCTCCCGAACATTCTCACGCGTCGTATTCCTCTGCATTCAATTCCATTACTCGAGGTTCGCTTGAGGCCCTCCATCCTAAACTTTTGCCTCCGGGAGTGTGGTCGCAGAGGTTCATTGGGATCTGCTTGAGGCCTGTCACACACAACCTTCGAAGATTGAGAGCAATTTACGAGTGTTTTTACGACCACAATATGTTGCGCCCTTTTGCCTTATTCTGAGGTTGATCTTACATGCATCATGTTTCTTCGCTGCATTTGGGTTACACCGACACTTAAACTAGATCTTCTTAAGTCGGCTCGTAGCCTTAAGGACCACAAGCCTGCCTTTTAATCCGAGTGTGCGGATCCGAACCTGTGTAGGGGACCGTAGCCAATGCTCAACTCTTCGTAACTTGGGGGGCAGCGAAGCGTTGGCACCGCATACCGGTATACTGCTGATATCTTTTTGGATCATCTTAAACCACATGAAAAGGTTTCCAATATTTGCTTTTCTCAGTTGTGTAATTCTGCTGCTTATTCCGCGTCAATTTTGCGTATTTATTTTCCTTCAATTTGATTTGATTTTTTAATACCCCTGTTGTGGCTGCCCTTGATGGGAATGTTGACGAGGTGCTTACCTCGAAAAACCGCTACCTCCATTTTACGGGCTTCAGATGACTGTTGGTCGTTTGCTTCCCGAGACAGGGTGCATGGTGTCCGTGACTGTGCTAGGTTCAACTAGTGGTTCCATACAGTGTTTAGCGGGCTACGGCTAGGCCACTGCCTTGTGTGCATCTGGTTCGCATGATTCTCAAAGTAGACAGAGAGGAATGCTGCTGTTGTGCATATTGAGGGAGGGTGGGCCGGTTTTGTTGTTGAAATATGGCTCCCGTCTACATGCATTCCGGTTTACACTAGATATAGGTTGTGTGGATGGAGTTGTGTGATGCAGCACAAGCCATCCATCGTCCCTGAGTAGGCGCAGGCGTCCTGTGCTTATCTTATGGAGGCCGCAGTGGCAAGCAATTACGGAACCGGATGCCCTCAAATACGTTACCCACTTGTGACCACGGCCAACCGCGGGTGGGATTCGGCGGGTTCGCATCAATTCGATCATGGGCTACCGAGCTCGAGGCAGGCAGCAGCGAACCATTGAGCACCGAGTGGTACCATCTCGCCGTTAGAGACTGCGTGTCTCTCATGGTCTACACCAAACGACCTGTGAGATTATGACCCGTGAACATATTGTCTGTCACGGCTAAGAGGTGGGACATCGACCTCTTCCTAACCTCCGAAGAGGATTGCGTGACTTTGTCTGTGTGACCCTTAACCGTTGACCTCTCTGGTATGAGTGGCTCTGAAGGCATTTGAAAAATACCGCACAGCATTGCTCAATGGCTCACGAAGGTACACAAACCACCGCCCCGCTTCAAAGTCCAATTTCTTCGCAATGGGATAGTAATAGTAAAAATAATAATAGGTTGTAGAGGTCACCTTTATGAAGCACTCATTGTATGAATGGGTTCCTACACGCAACATCAATGTGGACCGCGATTCGCATTGAAGTCAACTTTGGTCAGTTCGATAACCGGGACCGTAAGTGAAGCGAATGGGTATTTGGTATCGCTCACCCGAAGTCATCACAGTGTTTTCCGGAGACAACATCCAATCCCCAACTATAATAGTACTTATTTTTTACGGGTGTGTTGGGGCTGGGACAGTTCTATCAGTAGCCCTGCGACCGACTTGGCCGCGTGCTCTGCTCTCTTTGAGTCTCAAATTACGCATCACTTTTTGATATGATTGTCGTTGACCGAGTTTTACCATAGTGGCTCGGCAAAAGGAACTGAGGTTTTATTATTTTAGCGGCACTCTTCCTGTGTTATATACTGGCTGGTTACACACTTAATTACGCTGCAAATATATCGCCATTTTTTCTCACCTTAGTGTCATATTTCATCTGTAAACTTATTAATGATAGTAAACTGTTGGTAAGCCATCTCCATTTGATTGCTGGTTGGTTGGTTATCTTTTTCCTCGTTTTATTCTACTGGGAGATTATGGCACACAGGTTGTATTAAAACAATTCATAGTATGGGCTCTGTTCGGTACCACAGCTGAGCGTGGAGATGATCTCGACACAGATCGTGGGCCGGTGTGTGATTATACGGCTTGTGCCCACAGCATGATCACTTATCGATTTTATCTGTCCCAAATGCTCGTAAGGAGACCACCACGAACAAACGCAATGATTGTGCCGATCGTTGAATGATGCTCCTGCGCTTTTTACCGTAAAATCTGCCTTAACCCAACAAATTATTTTTCAACAGGTAACGGTTGTCGCGAAAATGGCCGATTATTGGAAGAGTAATCCAAGGAAGTTTTGTGAAGTTTGCAAATGCTGGATGGCAGACAACAAAATAGTTTGCCGTAAATCACCTCGACTGTTTACGTTCCTGTAGAGCGTACAAAATCATGAGGGCGGTATGCGACATAAATCAAATGTTGCAAAAAAGATGAACGAATTGATGCGAAGCAACAAGGATACTGAAAAGAACGAAAAACAGCTGAAAGAAAGCATACAGAAAATAAACGATGTGAGCATTTGACTGTGCCGTTTGTCTACTCATACCAGGCAGCATTTGTAGGCATGATGAAGGATTTGCAGCGCGATCCAACCTTGGCCAAGCGATATGGAGTAGTGCTTTGTAGTAAGTCTTGCTTATTTGTGTAAACCATGGTTGTGTTAGATGATACGACGGCGTCAGCTGACGAAGCATCTAGCTCAAAAACCAAGCACTTACCAAGTGCACCAGAGAAAAGCATTTCTCTCAAGCCAACTGTTTGCGAGTGGCAAGAGGCAACTGCACCTGACGGAAGAAAGTATTACTGGAATACAGTCACACGCGTTGCACAATGGGAACGTCCTGCCTGTGAGGTTGCACCGGAGGTCATGTCTGTGAAAGCTGAAAAAGACAGACTACAACACTTCGTCCTTAATCGGCTCGTGGAGTTGAGCGAATCTGGTTCCAGATGTGCTACTGAAGCTGTTCATGAAGCGTTTAACGCCCCTATGCCTGATTCCACAGAGGAAAGCACAGACATATGCAGTTACTCATCCATAACGGAGAACACTAACGTCTATAAACCAGAGCAAAAGTCGGTTCCACATTCTTCTCACGGTCCTAGAATTGATCTTTTAGGACCATGGACTCCAGTGGAAGATGAGTAAGTAATTGCGCGCTTTGTAACAGAAGAGCTTTGTTTTTAAGCATATTGTCATTGTTTTCCTTTACGTTATGATCGCACTGCTTCACACAAATTGGCTGTGGTGGGCCCCGACCGCCTCGTTTAACAGTCTATAAGATGGCGCTTCGTAATCAGTTTTTTAGCAGCATAACGTCAGACAATTACATGACACAAACTAATACTATTTATGCGCTCTTGGTCATCGTCTTGATATTTTTCCATTATCTTCCATTTCTTACTTGCTAACATTAGTTTTAGATTGTCTGAGAACATACTTCTGATCAGCCAGTGAGATTATTCCGCTGGGATTGAAGACTGAGTTAGATTTTGGTACAAATGAATTCTACTGATCCATTCCTTATGATGTTCTCCTGGAACATAAAATTACTCCTCATACCGAGTGACGCCTGGGGTTTAAACTTTAGTCAAGGTGCATATCTTGATAAATGGACATTGGATCAGTGCATTCTAGTGGTCTGGTGATCAATGCATCAGCCGTTATCCATGATATCCTGGGCTTACCTTCCAGTCACAGTTGTCTGTTTAAAGGACGAAACTGGTCGTGGATGCCAGAGTTAGGGGTGTGCAACACCAAACACATCTCCACCTATGTGAATATTCCGAGATGGAAAGGAAATCACTTCGATACTAGTATGCAGCAACTGGTAAGGGGGCAGCGCATACAAATGACACAGAGAAGTCGCGCCAAATGAACCAAGTTTAAATAACAAAGCCATCTAATTAATAAATAAAATAATGTGACAGGTGTACGCAGTAAAGGCACGTCGCTGCCACGCGACCACCACCAGTCGCGCGCGGACTGAGTATACTGCGAGGACGCCTACTCTTACGTGGATTCGAACCAACACACACACACACTATACACGTTAGCTAGAGGTGGGAAGCACTTCAGCTACTGTGCCTCAATACCTAAAAGAAAAAATGGAATAAAATGCAACAGGTACAAGCCAGCTGAGCTACCGGTAACGGATGGGCATCGTTCCGGTAAGCTAACTGCCGGCTACTATGCAGCAGAAAAAAATAATTTACTATGCAAAATTATAAATGTTAAATAATGAGATCGTGGTTGGAGGGGAGGCTAAGAGGAATGGGGTGGGACAAAGAAACTCACAGCACGAACGCCACTGAGGTTGGATCCTAGCCATATCAACAAGTGTATCCAGCCAAACGTGTTCATCGTCTTTCGGACCCCATCCAGGGAGCCGAGACGCTCCAACTGAGGCCAGCTTCGAAGTGAGAGCATTCGTTCGTCTCGACCAAGTCCGCTTGGCCACCCGTCTGTTGTGTCCCCAGGGGTTCAACTTAACAGCTTCTTAGATTGCGCCACGCGAGTCAAATGACAACGCATCGGACGAGAAGTATATTTGCGAAACACTGCACAGGCCGACGTGGGTCTGAAAACACTCTGATTACAGTTCAAATCACGGCTGAGTGCTAATTTGAATTTATCGATCTCAAAGAATCACGGCACGTGTGAGTGGTATGAAACAAGCGGTAGGAACAAATGTTCTGCAACACAGAAAAACCAGTCTGCTTGTAACTGAGACTGTTCTGATACAAGGCACACGGTTACTTGGGGAAATTGCTTACTTATCTTCCCGATCAAGTCAATTTGTTTCGTTTCTGTGCACATTTGACTTTGGTCTGACCTAACACCCTCCTCTTCTTCCATCCACCCCTCCGGTGCGCAAACACACGTCTCGGGAGTCGGTGGGCTGGCGTGCGTAACACGTGGCCAAGCCATCGGAGCCTGTTCGTGAAATAACGGTGCTGATCGGTTCATTTCCTTTTCCCGTGCCGTAAACGAGGCGTCGAACACGCTCGTTGCTTACTCGGTGTTCCGACCAGATGTGAGCTAAATTGCGAGGGAAATGACCTTATAGTTGCAAACCAGGCGCGCAGACCATACAGCCACCGACCGATGAGCCATTTACTTAAGCCCTGAAGTAACCGCCTGAGTGTAAGAAACAAATGAGTACGGAAAGGGGATAACCAACGCTGTCGGTGTGGAAAAGAAGGGTCCGATCTGCATCACTTAAGATGAGCGGAAAGCGGTGGCACAAAGCGAAGTGCCCATTATGTCTAATGATTTACAAAACAGAATGCGGACTGCTTACGATTCCCGAAAGGATGAAACAGCTGTACAATGCTTTTCCGGGTGTGTGATGGCTGTGTGGCTGAGGCTAGATGTAATGAACTGATATTTACACCAACCAACCATTTTGTTGCTCCTTTATTCCAATATTGCATGCGTTTTCCACACCGGTTGCTGCATACTACTATCGAAGTGATTCCTTTTCCATCTCGGAGTACTCACATAGGTGGAGATGTTTCTGATGTTGCGCACCCCTAATTCTGCCATCCACGACCAGTTTTTCGTCCCTTAAACAGCGATAAGTGGGAATGGAAGGTGAGTCCGGGATGTCATGGTTAATGGTTAACGCACTGCTCACAAGACCACTGGAATGCACTTCACTAGTGTTCGTTCATCATCATGTGTACTACGAAGCACTGTGAGCAGTCTAGTCCTCAGTTCGGTTTTCTGTATGGTGTACTTGGCATAGACTTATGTGCTAAAAATTCGACGTGATTCTTCTCTTTCTATCAATCGCCCTGTGTGGTATCTGTAAACATATTCGTCGTAGCTACATTCCTCACCATGATACGTAACTTTACCACGTGGAAATTCCAGATTTGGCGGCTTTAGCTGCCTCTATATAACGGAATGCATTCTCCTCTAATGACAGGACTCGCGACACCCCGTTGATCATTCATATGTATCAACACGCCGAAATTCGCTCTCGAAGCATATAAGCTTTTCGGACCGTATGCCGATCTAATATAAAGCACTCCCCGGTTGCTACGTACGAACACGACCTTACCTTATTGACCGAATTTTAGCTTGTCTCGTAACCTAGTGGCTCTCAAACGTGACCCTATATCTCTTGGGCTGCGGTTCGTCATGGTAACCACCTTACCACATGGCTACTGGTTCTATGTATCCTCATGCATTTTCATCCGATTGGTTGGAGATACTCTCGCAACTAACACGCTAACTGTGCCACTTACATCTTTTTATCCGTTCTTTCACGTCTCACTTCTGTCTCTTCATCTGATTACTTCATCGGATTTTACTTTTCTTTTTGAAGCTATAGTTTTAGTTTCGAAATCGATAGAAATTCATGGTTTCTGAAACGTTTCCACACTGGAGCAGGAAACCCATCCTTTAAATTCAATTAGCCTCAGCCTCTTATCGGGATCATGATTCCAATTTGTCATAAAATATCACATTGACTTTGCTTTGGCTGGGTGTAGCTATTTCGTTTAAAGCGAAGCTTTACTCAACAAATACATCGGCCACTATTTGGTGCGTTTCCTACTTCATCTCTCAACTACTTTTCAACCAATTCTGTCGGCTACGTGAGTCGGAGCAGCTGGATCCATCGCACTTTCATACATAAATCCCAAGTGATTACCTAAACTGAACTGTGCTGACATGTCCTTTATTCACGATAAAGATTCCAAATGTTTCCTAGCAGTTTGACTGTTCCAGTGTGCAAAAAGCATCCCGGATTTTGATACTCTTTCTTTGGAGTCACGTTGGCTGCGTTTTTCGAGATTACCTCCCAGATGCCTGACGTCTTTCATTGATTCGTCAGTATCTTGCGCGGTTGCCCTGTGTATCCCTAACACCCATTCTCTCAACAATCTTATTGTCATCTGATTTCATGTGACATCTCAGTTTTTATCTCATGGGACGCCTATTGGATGTCTTTGTAACTTTAGAGGGACGATACATCTGCGTAGAACAGCGCCCGATAGTTGCAAAGAATATAGAACCCACGTCTGTGGTTTTGATTGTTTTAATGATCTGTTCTAATGATCACTTCCTTTCATTTAAGCTAGATCTCAGCTTCAGTTTTGTAGTCGAAATTTATTATGCTTACTTCTTTTCCCACTGTTCAATATCGAAAAATTTTGTACTACTGTGTCAATAGGTAGACATGTCCAAACAAACGATACTTCCCTAAGCAAGTTAAAATGCTAGAATCGCTTGATTTTTCGTATAAGAATATTTCACTAGCTTGCCGCCTGCAATATATCCGGATGCTGCAAAACCTAGGTCAGAATTCCTGACCACTGTTCTGAACGTTGATCGTAGAGCTCAAAGGTATAGTGATCAAAACATCGGTCGTCCGCCACTGTTTCAGCTGCGGCTATTTCTACCTGAACAGTTGAAATATGCGCGAAACTGGTTGTATAACGAATGACACAAAAAATTTAACGCTAGTGTGATTGATAGAAGTTGACAGCGCGCAGCAGTCTTGCTTAATCCTTTTGATCAATTTTTTTCTGCCTGGTGATGTACTCACCTGGTCCTGCTGGGCCTTCAGCACCCTATCTAGTTTTATTGTATTACGGCACAGTAGCTGGGTTGTCTCTTACTTATAGCTGACTAGTTGGATAATATCAATGACTACCGACTGAAGTGTCAGCAAGTAATGGACACGGATACGTGTGGCTGGTTGGCCTACTGAGAACCATCGTGAGCAGCATAGGAGATATAAATATGTTAAGCGATCCGCTTGGTTCACCGGAACGCCTGTTTTGAACAGAAACTGGCGGATTTCAAGATGCTTTACTCAGTGCTCCTATCAACTATTATCCATAATTCACAGACATCCGCGATTGACCTTCAATTTCTTGCTACTTTCGGTTTTTGGCGGTCATGTGTTTATCCTATGCGTTAACCGCCATTACATTGCCTTCTATTATAAGAGAAGGCTACTGACGGGATCCGACTTTGTGTTACTTAGTTTTCAGAGACTTTAAAGAGTGGATAACCCCTTTGACTCGGGACGTTTGTACCCATCACACATTTCCGTAACTTATCCCAGCCGACTGCTTCAAGATGTTCCTGCTTTTCGTTTCTCATAGCTTAGAAATGCTCTCTTTCG